TGTTACTGGAATCTCTTAATCCCAAGGGTCTTCACTGCAGCTTTGGCTTCCTTCTCACATCTTTATGCATCACCTTCTCAGGGGCAGCCCACAGGGATATGACCCTGCTACACTTTGTCTGGCTTCCCGGGTCTTCCTTTGAAATCCCAGCAGAAGCTCCTAAACTCCAGCATCCTGCATTCCTGCAGAACCAGCACCACATGGATGATGCCAAGGTCCACCATCATCTCAAGTAGGAGCCATGGCTGCAGCATCCTCTGAGGGCCTGGGTGGCTGACTATGGTGAAAACATTTCCTAGGCCCTTGTACAAGCAGGGTGCCTCATTGTCTTTATCAAAACAATTTTATACTTTTATACTCTTGAGCCTGAGATGGCTGTGGTGTTATCAATTCCTGAGATGTCCTCAAGCCACCTTTCTAATTGTTTCTGGATAAAGTACTTGGTATTTCTTTAATGGTTATGTTCTCTTTAACAAACACACTTTCATTAGCCCCAATTTTACTCACACGGCCAAACTGCAAGATTTTCCAATCTTTCTGTTCCTGATTATCATAGTAACTTGGCTAAAAGCCAACAACAATGTTCATGCTACCCCTGAAGGACTTGCTACTACTGAGGATTTGAAATTTAATAAGTACCTCTGAATGAAGTGTTTCTACTAAAAGAAAAGTTGGTGAGACTGTTATAGTCACCAAAATTTCTTTTCCCTGATCTCTAGATAAATCTTTGTCACTCCTTCCTGAAATTATGTAAAGAATTAGACAGTTTTAGTGTCTGATTTGGTATACACTTGGAATTTTTCTCTGCCAGATTAATTAGTTGATCACCTTTAAATTCAGCTTTACAGAAAGTCTCAAGACATGGGCAAAATGTAGACAAGTTTTTTGCCAGAATGCAACATGAATGGTTTCCAGCCCAATTTCCAATAGAGTTCTTTTCTCTGAAACATCATGAGCTCAGTATATATAGTCCTAACAACATTCTAAGCTTCTACCAGAATAACCCATTAAGCTCCATTTACAACATTCTAAAGCATCTCTAGCTTGCATCTCAAAATGTTTCAAAGTTCCCCCACCTGCAAACCAGTTCCAAAGGCTTTTCAAACACATAGTCAGGTTAGTCATAGCATGACCCCACTTCTTGGTACCAATTTCTATTTTAGTTAGCTTTTCATTACTGAGACCAAAAGACCTGACAAGAACATAGAGGAGAAAGTTTATTTTGGCTCATGGTTTCAGAAGTTCAGTTCACGGTCAGCTGAATCCATAGCTTTGGGCCAACATGAGGCAGAACATCATGGCATAAGGGCATGGTGGAGGAAAGCTGCTCAGGACATATCAACTAGGGAGCAGAAAGAAAGGACACCAAGGATAAATGTAACCCCCCAGAGGCATTTCCCAGTGGCCTACCTCCTCTAGTCACCTGCCTACAGTTAATATTTAGTTAATCCATATTAGTTGATTAATTCACTGGTTAGGCCACAATCATAATCTAATCAATTCACCTCTGAAAATTCTTGCATTGTTTTTCACATGAGCTTTTAAGGGAAACACCCCTTAAGTAAATACTAAAACCTGCATAAAAGTGATTTTTCTCTCTTTCATAGTAAGTGAACACTTTTCAATGACCACCCCCTCATCATGTTGTCACCATAAGGGGGTTCAAAGAGGTCTATCCAGGGGCAGAGATGCCTATTCTAACCTTCTAGGTTCTTGACACATCACCTAAAAGTATTGAAGGACACATCAGGTTTTAGTAAAGAGGAAGAGCTTTATTTGAAAGGCAAAGGGAAAGACACACATTCTTAGAGCACAGTGCAGACTCTCTCAAGAGCAAGAAGTGCTTTGGGGATCCCAGTCTCTTCTTTTACAGGAAACTTTGTAGGAGTAGGCATGGGAAAGTATATATGGAAATGACTTCAGTCTGGTGAATTCAGTACTTTGATTATGGATTGCAAGATGTTCATGGTAGTCTTGTCTTCTCCCGGGATCTTCAGTTTGATATTGTCTCTTATTTAGATAACATGTGGGATGTGCCTTAAAATATACCCACTTTTGCTTTATCTAATCTGAAAATACATTGTGTAGTGACCTTCAGCTTTGATCAGAATGAGACAGTTTTCACAGATGAGTGAATTTATAGTAACCCTAAGATTTGTAGATTTCTCAGATTTTTTTTTTTCTGGAGAAAAAAAAAACAGGTTTGGGGAGTAAATCTGACCATAGAGCTTTCAGATATACAATTATAGTTTTTTTCCTTATCTTTTATCTCCTTTCTACATATCTTTATTCCTTTTCTTACTGCAGTGTGACTTGGGTCAATCCAGCAATTTGAAGTTAATCATACAGGTCTGACTCCCCTTACCAATGACGAATTTAGAGGCAGGCATGTGACCTAGTTCGGGACAATAAGGTGTGAGAGGAAGTCTTCTAGATGGTTTTAGGAAAGGTTTCTTAGCTCTAGAAATGAGACATAACTGGGAACAAATAGGTCAATTCAATTTCTTGACATTGGTTCATATCAGGATAAGATGCCTGGAGCTGCTGCTATCATTTTATTATTTATCTAACCTGAAGAGCCACAGGCAGACTAGAAAGATGAGAAGAATCCAGGGAACTGACATAACCAACCCTGAGGCCTTTTTGCCTCCAGATTTCCTGTTATGAGATAATCCATCCCCTTATTAAATTATTTCATGTCACATATTATAAGTGCATATCTTAAAAGATGATAAATGATCAAGAAATGAAAAACATATGGATAAAATAAAAGATATCTGTAGCCAAATCTGGAGGCAAGCAGTTTATTATGCTTATATTTTCATTGTCATTCACATTAAACACTCATATTTCTTTTTTTTTAGTTGTAGTTGGACACAGTATCTTTAATTTTTTAATGTGGTGCTGAGGATAGAACCCAGAGCCTCACACGTGCTAGGTGAGCGCTCTACCACGGAGCCACAATCCCAGACCCAAACACTCATATTTATTATGGAAGGTATCCCTGCATTTATTCAGATCAACTAGGAGCCCCATATCTTCCATGTTTCCATGGTGTAGTCCTCAGAGAAGGTCCAAGGTCTAAGTCATCACTATTACTCCCCAAGTTTCAGACTAAAATGCTGTCCACCAAGATGTCCTTGAGAACAGATGAAAGAGCTCCATTAGGTCTGCAGCTCTGGCTGGCTGTCCCTGAAGGTGCTATTGTTAGTCCTGCCACTACCTTCCTTGTTCAGCATCTGGGTTCCTTATCCTTGTAATAATTTTTTGATCTGAAAGCTGCTGTGTCCTATATGCACACACAGCCATGCTAGCTTTCTTTTGATTGGCAGTAACATGGTATATCTTTTTTCCATCCTTGTACTTTTATTTGTATGTTATGTGTAAAGTGSGTTCCCTGTAGGCAGCATATAGTTAGGGCTTGCTTTTTTATGTAATCAATCTCTTCCTTTTATTTGCAGTAGTTACTTTCTAGTTCACTGCTTTAAAAAGAAAAGAGGACATTCTTCTCTGCTCTGTTTGAATGTGTCCTCTAAAATTTCCTGTGTTGGAAACTTAATCCCTAAATTCATATGCCAATGTTATTTGAAGATGCACCTTTGGTAGGTAATTCAGATTAGATGAGGATTTTATAAGATGAAGAGACCTGAGCTATCAGGCCATGTGATGTCCTCTGCCACTTTTTTTTTTTTTTTTTTTTTTTGTACCAGGGATTGAACCCAGGATGCTTAACCACTGAGCCACACCCCCAGCTTTTTTTTTTTTTTTTTTTTTTTTTGGTAAGACAAGGTCTCACTAAGCTGCTTAGGGCCTTGCAGAGTTGCTGAGGCTGGCTTTGAACCCACAATCCTGCCTCAGCCTCCTGAGTCACTGGGATTACTGGTATGTGTGCCCTGCTTCCCTCTGCCATGTTAAAATGCAGTAAGAGGCCCCTTATCAGGCTGGCACCATGCTTCCAGAATTTGGACTTCTCAGCCCCCAGAATTGTAAGCTAAAGAATCTATATTCTCAATAAATTTCCCAGTCTGTGGTACTCAATTATAGCAACAGAAAACATTAGTCTTTCTTCTCTTTATACCCTAACAACATTTAAAAAAAAAATGTTGCTCTCTATATAGATTTACAAGATGATGGCAAGGAGTTTGGAAATATAGCTGTGCCTGGCTTGGGACATGTGGTAGGGGGAGTTAGAGAAAATGAGAACTTTGTAGATTACTGTAGTAGTTTAGTTACTATACTGAGGACATGAAATTTAATAAATACCTCTGAATAAAGTGTTTCTACTGAAAGAAAAGTTGGTGACAGGCTGTTATAGTCACCGAAATTTATCTAGAGATCTTTTCTCTGATCTCTAGATAAAATCTTTGTCACTCCTACCTGAAATTATGTAAAGAATTAGACAGTTTCAGTGTCTGATCTGGTATACACTTGGAGCAATTAATGCTACCTTTCCTTAAACAGTTTAGGAAATCAGAAAAGTAAAATATATGCCCTAGGTCATGTCCCTCCCTGGCTAGTGCTAGAGTCTGGAATATAACCCTTCCCTATTTCCAAAAGGACTGGCGAACCTCATTGCTCTAGTGTTGACTTTTGATTTTTAGTTAAAAAGGTACGTGTTAATTTCTACTCTACATCTTTGTTTTGATTTGTGGTCCCACTCAGAATCTGAGAAAAATAGCAACAAAACAAAGAAAATCATATAAGAACAGAATGAAACCCACAGATAGCAATATAGTTTCACAGAGCAAGTGGCACACATGGTAAAAGGACACAATGAAAGAAAATGACAGCATTTTCCAGGGAGGTAAATGTAGTACAGGATTATCAGCCCCATCTTGTGGCTTTCTTTAGATATTGCTTCTAAGATTCATTTTAAAAAAAAAAATATATTTATTTTTTAGTTGGACACAATATTTTTATTTATTTATTTTTATGTGGTGCTAAAAGATCGAGCCTAGGGCCTCACAAGTGCTAGGCGAGCACTCCACTGCACAGCCACAACCCCAGGCCCTAAGATTCATTTTTGAACCACTAACCATCACTGGACACCTGACAACTTGTTGGGTGAGAAGATCTAGAACAATGACTCTCAAACTTTAGTGTGCTTGAGAATTACATGGTGATCACATGAAAATGCAGATTCCTGGCCAAGACAGGTAAGAAGGATGAAATGGGGTCTGGGAATCTCCATGTACAAAGCTCCCCAGGTGAATATAGATCACATATAAGAAATACTGAAGGCAATGAAAATTAGTGATGTGCATTTCCTATGAGGAAAGGGCTATTCTGAAAAAATTTGGAAGAAAATTATCTAGAACTGTAAAGGGTTTGAAATTTTATCCTACTTGCAAGCAGTTAGCTTGCTACAGATTCATGAACGATGGTAGGAGATATGAGTCCACTGGGTCAGAGACAAAGGACAATTCTTGACAGCACTAAGTGTAGTCAGCATTGTTACTGGGCCAATTTCCTGAGCCTCAATTCCCACAAGTCTTTGTGATGAGGGCCCCAGTAGGTTGCATTACAGAAGAGAAATTCCCAAATTTAGGAAACTGGAATCTATAATGGGGACTACTTCTGCCAGAACTTTGTCTGGACGAGAAATTATTTCTGTCCTCCAAAGTTGTTCACCATAGAAACATCCTTGGAAAATTCAGACAGTGCCTGTGCTCTCAAGACATACAGATGCCCAACCCCAAGAGTCGTTTCTCAGCAGAAACCAGGAATAGAAGCACCGCAGGTGAACAGTATCCTACAGGAGAAAGCTGCAAAATAATCACACTGCTGCAGGAAAGGGGAATCGCAGGGGCTCGGCCCGGCAAACCCGGCAGGAATTCAGCTTGGATTCTGGTTCAAAGAAGTCTTTCATTCCTTTGCTTTAAGGGAGACCTGCCTGATGTCAGGAGCACGCTCCACACTTCCCTCCCTTTCAGCCTCACACTTCAGAGGGACGAGGTAAGTTACAGTCATTTTCCTCACAAGCAGCCACATCCTGAAACACTAGACTCATTCAACCCCGGGGCAAGAACCACGTCTTCCCAGAGGTCCTCCCACCACCCGCTCTCCTCGCCTGCTGCCTCCAGGCCAGAAGACTGGCCAAAAAGAAGTGATGGACGAGGCCTGTCACTCAAGACAGGCCTTTACGAAGGCACCGCCACTCTAAGCGCGAGCCCACGGAAGCTGCTTTAAGACCCAGCCACGACTGACTTCGGAACCAAGTCAGGATCCCGGGTGTCTCCCACGTCGCGGGCCAGAGGTTTCCATGACTCGGTTAAGGAAGGGGTTCCTAGACTTCATTTCCCACTTCAATAAGGACGCAGGCGTCCAGTGACACTAGGGCGCGCAGCGCAGCGCGGCTAGGGGACGCGCCCGTCGGCAGAGGGCGGCTACAACCAGCTCCGCAGCCCGACCGGCTCTTCCCGCCTTCACGCGCAAACAGGAAGTGGGGCGGAACCAGCCGAGCACGCCACTCGCGATTGGCCAGCGCCGCCGCCGCTCACCGCCGCGAGAGGAAGGGGTTGGGCACCGCCCACCGCCCCGCAGTCGGCGGCTTGGCGGGTGGGAGGGACGCCGGCCAAAGTTACGGGTACCGGATCCCGCAGCTCGTGGGTCATGGAGCCCGGGCCCGCCGCGTCCCCCGGGCCTTCCCGCTCCTTCAAAGAGGAGCTGCTCTGCGCGGTCTGCTACGACCCCTTCCGCGATGCGGTGACGCTGCACTGTGGCCACAACTTCTGCCGCGGGTGCGTGAGCCGCTGCTGGGAAGTGCAAGTGGCGCCCACCTGCCCGGTGTGCAAGGACCGGGCGTCGCCCGCCGACCTGCGCACCAACCACACCCTGAACAACCTGGTGGAGAAGCTGCTGCGCCAGGAGGCCGAGGGCGCGCGCTGGACAGGCCCGCGATCCCCGCGCCTCTGCCGCTTGCACCGCGGCCAGTTGAGTCTTTTCTGCCTCGAGGACAAGGAGCTGCTCTGCTGCTCATGCCAGGCCGACCCCCGCCACCGGGGACATCGCATGCAGCCAGTGAAGGACACTGCCCACGACTTTCGGGTAAGAGTGGCGGTGAGCGCCCAGTGATCCAGCGCACTCGTGGTGGCCGGGGCTGGACCGCATCCCTGCACCCGGGCTCCGCCCTCCAGCCTGCTAGCGCGGCGCGTGCTCAGGCCTCCCGGGCTCCCCGCTCCAGCTCCGGGGCTTCCTCAAGACCCCCACCGCGAATGTGGTTATCTGTTGGGTCTGCCTTCTTCAAGGCCGGCCCAGGATGGGTCAGAGAGTGCAAACAGGAAGTGGGAGACAGGGTCGGCGACCTTCTCCAGACAGCCCCGCCCCCTTCTGAGCGGCCCGGCCCAGCCAGCGGCGGTGGCCAGGTCCCTCTGAGCTGCACCAGTGTGGGTAAACGCCCACGAACCCTCAGTTTAGAAGTGGGAGAGGAGCCCAGGACCTGGCAAGGGATGTAGAGCCTTAAGGTTTCCGCAGCTCAGTCACCGTCCTCAGCTGATCCCAAAGTTTGTGTAACTGTGGGGAGAGGCCCTTGGCTCAGGCCCACTGGTTGATTCTCTATCATTCTTTTAGCATCTTAACGCGTAGAGTTCCAATAGCTGTGAACCAGGGAACAACTTACAGGGTAAAAGTAATGTGGAGAAGTCTTTGTTATAGAAAGGAAAAAGTGATTAGGAAATAAGGGTTAACCTAGCTAAGAATTTTTCAGAAATATTTAGACTTTAGCCCTTAGAAACACGTTCGTTTTCGGCACGTTTGTCTGTGAATGAATGAGTCACACCCTACATCACCCATATATATGTATCAATAGTAAAAAAAAATAAAAGTAAAATTCTGGAAATGCCCATTGTACTCTGGAAGAAGTTACACAATGTGAAAACACTAAAATTTGGAGCTGGGGATGTGGCTCAGTGGTAGAGCTTTTGCTGGCATGTGTGAGGTCCTGGCTCCCATCCCCAGCACTCAAAAAGGAAAGAAGCAGTAAATTTGTTTTATCACCTACTAATGCATGTATCAGACCAAAAGTTTGGAGAACACTGGTTAGCTGGCAGGAAGCTGTGTCCAGAAGGAGGTACTCCACACATCCCCTCTCCTTTCTTTGCAGTGCCTTTATTGAGGAATAATTTTAAGTTTGTTATAGTTCCACACACATTTTGGCATAGACAAGTAAAAGAGAACTCAGGAGTGCCATCATTATGCATGTTTGATTGAGTAACCCTGTGACTCCTATGCACTCCCACTGGCAGAAGTGTTAGATACTGATTTGAGACAGATGAAGAAAGTGCTGGGCTCACTGGGAACTAGGGTCTAGGTAGTGGGACCATGAGTCAAGGTGTGACTAATTCTCATGGGGCTGGCAGAGCTGCAGATCAGGAGATGGACAGGAGTCAAGGCCAGGAACACTCACAGACTCTCCCCAGGTTGGAGCCAAGCCCCAAGCCAGGATTCAAGAGTAGTGAACCTGGGGCCAGGAAGCATGAGGTTCCATGACAGCTTTCTTAATTAGCAGATGTCTTGCCCTGCTGGGTCCTAGAGGAGCTGCAGGAGATGAGATAGAGAATTCGCACCCTCAAGGAGCTTCCAGGAGAGACCTGAGGGCTGTGGAAGTATTAGCCAGGGGAAGGAGTGAGGATGTGGCAGAGACAGTAGTGTCTGAAAGGGTCTGGAAGTGAGGAAACCTGACTTTCCAGGCACCTAGAGAGTATCAGTGGTTACAACGGGATGGAGATGCAGATGGAGCCTTGTGTCAGGCCAGTGGGCCCTCAGGGTGATGCCTGAGAGGCAGGGAATGGTCTAGTCCAGGGCCGCCTGAAGCAGGGTGCGACTCATTCATTTACCAGACAAACATGAGTCAGCTGAGGGCCTCCTGTGTGCTAGAACCTGTTCTGGGTGCCCAGGTCCCTGAGATAGCCCCTTTTCTTATGAAGTTCATGTTTTAGAGGGGAAGTCAGGAGTTAGTAGACACGACATGGTTCTGCATGATTGGACATGCGTGATGGTTCTGGGGGGAGCAGTGTGGGATCCCCCCTCCCATCCCACTGCCATGTGAGAAGGAGCTAGGTCAAAAGCCCTGCTGGCTGTGGGGAGCCCTGTGGGATTCTCAGACGGGGGTTGTGATGAGATAGTATGTTTTAGAAAAAAGATCACTTTGGCCACCATCTAAGCATAAGTTGAATGTAGTTCTAGAGGTCAGAAGGCCCAAATTCAGGCTGTCTACAAGCTGCATTCCTTTTGGAGGTTTCAGGGGAGAACATGTTTCCTTGTCTTCTCCATCTTTAGGGAGCATGACTCTGACTTCTGCTTCAGTTATCTTATTGCCTTCCTTGGCTGACTACCACCTCTCTCATAAGGCCCTCGTGATTACAGTGGACCCACTCAGATGATCCAGAAGAATCTCCCCGTATCAAGATCCTTAATTCCGTCATCTGCAGAATCCCTTTTGCCATAACATTCACGGTTGTAGTGATTAGAACTTGGGCTTTGCAGGGTTGCGGGGCATTTCAGCTTGCTGCAGGTAGTAGCGTTATCCCTATCTTACAGTGTAATGAGGTACAGTATAAAGACAGTCTCAGTAAGTAATTGCCAAAGTCACAGAGCTAGTAGCTAGACTTCCCCTGGGCCTAGTTTGGTCCCTGCTCTGGTCATGGGTTTTGAGAGAGCCTTCTCAGTGCTGCTGATGCTCTGTTCCCAGAGCTGTGGGCAGCCAACTGTGTTTGGATAAGCAGGCCTCTGGGTGGCTGTTGATCATTGTCAATGTGCGGAGAGTAGATAGGTTGAACACCTGCAATGTGCTGGGCACAGTGTGTCCAGCAGAATACAGTCCAGTTCTAGAGATCCTGCCTGGATGAAGTTGACAGGCACAGTTGAATACTCTCACTAATAATTGAAGTTTCAGTGAAAGATGAGACACTCTAAGAGGAAAGCCTGCTTTTTTCGTCTGTTGAGGCATGGGAAGGAGCCTCTGAAGGACTGACTTCACAAGACCTGAAGGCCCAGAGGCGTAAGGGAAGGCCAGTAGCAGTAGTGGGGGCATTGGGTGGGGCCTGCAGTGACCAAAGGACATTCTACATGAGGAATGAAGAAGTTTGGGACAGATCCCACAGGGCATCCAAGGGCATGTTAAAGAGTTTGCCTGGTGTCCTCAGTACAGTGAGATATGACCAGAAGGACTTAGGAGATTTTGGAATGTAACGGAAATGTTTAAACAGAGCTCTAGAAAGAACACAAGTGCTTGGGGGACCTTAGGAAGTCCTGGAGCGCAGTGTTTCTCAAACCTGAACAACGTGCTTGCTCCTCTTAAAGGAAAAAGTGTTCCAACAGTGTGGCTTAAATATGTTACCACGTAGGTACACACAAACACAAAACATATAAATTGCTCTTGCCTATATCACAGATATGCAATAAACCAAAGGAAGTTGCCAGATTAAGTCTAAGCAAAATTAGGATCTATACAATTCCAGTTAAAATATTAATTACAAGATTTTATTTTGCTGAAACTAAATCTCTACTCTTGGCAGAGATCCTTTTGATTGATTCTCTTTACTGTGTTCCAAGTGCTGGCTTCATTCAGGAGTCAAAGCTTCCCTTTTTGAAGAACTCAGAAACTCAAACTCAGGTGATGCACATGGTTGGCCAGCTTACAGCACCCATACACCCTCTACCTGCTGAGTGTATTGCTCTTCCCTCGATAGGCCAAGACCATGACACTCATACAGACTAGTGCCTGGTAATCATTAACACATTTACATATGCTGGTGCTGACGTTGTAGGAACCAAGAGCATGTGTCACACTGTGTATGAGGTGACTCAGGATGGGCTTACCTTGGTGGATTTTTTTGGTTCCTCATTCAACGAAAACACTAACTAAGAATTCTCTTAGACTACTTGCAAATCCACAAAATACTCAAACACAGACCCTTCCAGGGGACTATGAAGATAGTTACATTTATTAATGAGAAAATGGAAACTTGGGAAAATTCATTCACTTCTTGCAGCTTTGGGGTAAACATGGTAAAATTCTTGGGTCAGAACTCAAGTTTAGTGTTTTTAATACCAGACCCACTCCAAACTCCCTCGGAGGCCCAGGCCTCTAACTGCCTTGTCTGGACCCCTTTCTTATACATGCCTCTGGACTTTGACGTAGGTCCCGAAGCCTTGGTCCCCTGCCCGGGGCTACCTTCTCAGAATTAGCCTGAGAAGTATCAACCGAGGGAGTCCAATTACTCTTAGCTACCTTCAGAGGTCTCCCCACCATAGTTTGCAAGTGGTTCATCCTCTCCAAAAACAAAGGTTGACATTTAATCTCCATTGCAAGGTATTAAGAGGGTAGAAACTTAATGTGACTGGTGTTTAGAGGTGGAGCCTTTGATTCGGATTAGATAGGAGTGTCAGAGCCCCCACCATCCTAGTGGCTTTATGAGAGGGGAAGAAACAGGATTCACATGCACTTCCTATTTCCCACTGCGTGATGCCCTCACCCATTCTGGAACTCAGCTATCCTGGAAGACTATCACCAGACATGGCCCTAAGTCTCAGCTCAGAACTCTGAGCCAGAATCAGCCTGTTTCCTAATAGCTTAYCCTATGCTGTTGTATTACTGCAAACAGAAAATGGACTAAGACATTCCCCTTCTAGTTCTTTCTACCCTTTCCTAACTACTCACTACTTTCTGGGTCCTCAGCTTTCAATTCAAGCCTGGCAGATCCCTAGTTGCAATAGAGGATGTTCATTGCCTCCTTGATAAGCCTGTGCCCCCGGCAGAGAGGGAGTCTCAATTGCCCACTGTGGCTCCTGAGTGAAGAGGTCCTAGCAGTAGGCACCATGGTAAACACCTATTGTGTGATAAGTCTGCATATCAAGGGGGAAGAAAGATCTGGAAAACAAATTGGAGTTGGATAAGGATGAGATCTAGATGAGGTTRTCTTAGCATTTATGCTGTACATTAAGAAACCTGAAACATCTGATAGGAGAATTAAATTTCTTGGCTCACAAGTGGCACTTATTGGTACTAAGAGCTAGACCTTGCAACACATACTGTGTGCCTGCCCACTTCTCAGCCCTTGACATGCACTGATTTGTCAACCCATGAGCTCCATAGTGATATCCCTCTTATCAGGTAGGAAACTGGTATTAAGTAATTAGCACTGTCCCTGCTACATGTARGTGCTCCATAAATGGTGATGGTAATTTACCAGTACTATTATTAGAATCATTATTATTTTTATTAGAATTAATCTAATATTAGTAATATTAGATTATTATTATTAGAATATTTACTGTTTTTCCAAAAGAAAATATATGAGAAGGTTTCTCACAATGTAGATGAAAAGGTAGGAATCCAACCTAAAATTCACAGTGTTCTTCAGGGAGTCCAGAAAGTTCAGAAGCAATAATTAAAATTTAAAAAACAAAAACTACTGAAGAGATAAATATTTGAATTTGATAATTAAAGTCTGTCACGTGATCTAAGCAATATGAGAATGTCAGGAGAAGGAAGGGTCTGGAGGGAAGTGTTTAGAGAAGGCCTTATGGGAAATAACTTCATTTGATGGGAAATAAGGGGGTCAGGTCAGACCCCCTAAGGTTAGTGACTTCAGACCAGTACAGTCTGGGAAATTTCAAAGGGAGCCTGTGGCCCCTCCCCCTGTCTTATCCCCACAGCTCAGGGACTCAGAGCTCAGCCTGGACCAGTAAATGCTGTTTTTCATGCTCTTGTCAAAGTGGAATTCCAGTTATAAATGTGGTGTTTGTCCTCCCTGTCTGGCCTCCAGTCCTAATTTGCCTCCCTGCCTTCTTCTCATTCCCCACATCAGGCCAAGTGTAGAAACATGGAGTGCACGCTGCGGGAGAAAGCCAAGGCCTTCTGGGCCATGCGACGCTCCTACGAGGCCATCGCCAAGCACAATCAGGTGAGTGCTTGGACCCAGTGTGCAGCCACGGAGAAGCAGGGGATGGTTGGCCTTGGCTCTGTTGATGCCGCCCGTGGGCTAGCTGTGGACTTGGAAGTCTCATACAGCCTTGCTCTCAGCTGCTGTCTGGACTACACTGCCTCACTGAAGACCTGGGCATGGCACGCCAGCAGCACAGGCATGGCCTAAGAAGCCACCCGTGCCATTGCACTGTCATTTAAGAATAACCTCAGTGTGTGCTGCATTTCGCCATTCACTCTGCGCAGGCCCCCGCCGACTGGGTTCCTGTGATTCCTGGTGTCCTTTCAGTGTCTGTGTCCACTCCACCACAGCCCTGTTCCCTGTCTCTGAACCATACATGTCCATCGAACTCCACCTGCATTGCTGCGCCTCCTTCCTGGCCTGCTCCCTGCTTCTGTTCTTGGTTTTCTGTTCTTTGTTCTGTTCTTTCCACTCTCCAAGCACTCCAGTGGTCTTTTGGAAAAGCACATCGCTRTGYCATTCCTCTRCTTAAAAKCGCSTAGTGTAGTTCCRTGCCCCAGACTGCRGTCCAGACTCCTTCCCATGGCCAAGGCTGTYGTCTGCCCCTTGCCTGCCCCAAGTTCATCTGCTGTTCTGTGGCTTGGTGCTCTGTGCTTCTGCCACTTCTGTGGCCTTCTCWGTCCCTTAAATGAGCTAAAGCTGTTCCCCTGGCCCTATAGTCAAAGATGCCTTTAAAATTTCAGCTTACACATCCCTTGGGAAGCTTTCCCTGCTGCTACCCAGACTAGCCCTTCCCTTTTACCCTGCTTTAGTCTCCCTCATTTTCTTCAAGACACTTCATTATCTTGTTTTCTAGTTTGTCCCCTCTCATCAAAATACAAGGAAAGTGAGCACATTCCCAATGTCTGGAAGTTCTGGGCACCTGTAGGGGACCAGTAATGAACTTGTGGCTGGTTCCATGGCTAGATATTAGGAGGCTTCCCTGAGCCCAGTCCTTGGCCACTCAGGCATTGTAGTGCGCAGCAGCCCAAACCAGGTATGTCAGCTGTGGCTGAGATGAGTGCAGCTGAGTGGTAATTACTAGAAGCAGTCATCTCTCAGAAGGTGAGAGACCAGAGCCAGGGTCAGCGAGACGGTCAGAAACCAGCCTGTCCCAAGCTGGAGGAGCAGAGCAGGAGTCGGGCCTGTGAAATACAGAGGCCAGGGTAGTAAGCTGCAGGCTGACCTTGGAAATCCAACCCTGGATGTCTCCTCGCAGATCCCTCGGCCCCCACCAAACTCATGCACTCACCTGTAGAAAGAAATTCCCTCTTCCTAGGATTTTTTGAAACTTTGAGATAAGGTAATGCATCTGAGTGCCCACAGAGAGAGGCCATTCAACGTTTGTCATGTTTTGGAGACCAAGAAGCTGAGTTGACAGAGTGGCACCATTTGATCATCTTAGGTCAGAGCCATGAGTACAGACTGAGATTCCAGTCCACAAATGAGATTGCAGCCTGCCGTTGCTGGAGGACACCGTTTGTGGTGTTCTTCTGGTGCTGTCATGGAGTCATCAGGCTTCATTTCTGCCCTGTAACCCATGTCGTCATGGCCAAAGCTGTTTGGCTGGTTTTGTGTGTAAAGAAATAATAAAGGGAGACACAGAGACGAGGTGCAGAGGCAGGGAAGGTGTCCAAGTGGCCACGTTTATTTATACCAATAGGTTATGTTTGGTCATTAGTACCATAACTACATTATTGTTTAGAGTATCAGCAAGGTTGCTTATTCTGCAGTTAAATTTTACAGTTATAGTATGCAATGTAGGAGCTTTGTGCAGTTCTCAAGAAGGTCCATTGTCTGAAGTTACTGTTAGGTGGGCAGCTCCAGGAGCAGCAGAGCTTGGTGAAACATTGTAGTTATCTAGCAAATAAGTTCCTTTATTCCTAGGAACGATGTGCCTGCAATCAAGGTCGAGGTTTGATGAGCCTCTAACACAGAGGCTTCTCAGAGCATTGCCATACCAGCTAGACATTGCACATATATTAGCTATATTACTAGATCCTAAGAGAGATTGCTGGGCATTCTAAAGGTGGGAAACAAGGTGCCTGTTACCCCCCGGGAGTTGGCTCACCAGGGGAATGCTTCCCTGTACGTTTCCATGATCAGAATACCTACATTTGTGGGTGTGGGGCTGGACTGGGGGAAAGGGGGGTGCATCCATCTCTCTATGCCAGGCAGCAGAGAGCTCTTAGGCTTCTTGTGGAGGCCAGGGTTCTTAAGGTGGTCGGGTTGAGGCCTCCAGAGTTCTAGCTGGATGGGTGCTTTTCCCATTAAATTCTTTGAATCCAAGTCACTGAGTATATATTCTGTCGTTTACCCCTTTACCATGAGGCTGTCCCTAACAGTGTGACAGTGGCTAGAGTTGCCTCGGCTCTTGCCAAATTTTCCTCTTTGCTCCATCCTTTCTTGTCCTGTGTGAGAAGAATCAGTAGAGTCAACTCTTCTTAGGAGGTCTGTTCTCATTTGCCCATCTTTTCACAGTATGGATTTCTTCTGTGAATGATGTGAATGCCAATTCATATCCTTTTTTTGTTCTTGGAATATTTGTCTTTTCTCCCATTGGATTTTTGGAGTGCTTTGTATATTAAGACTAATACTAGTTTGTTGAATATATTGCAAACATTTTTCCCAGTTTGTCATTTCTTTTTCAATGAATTATTTTCAGGGTTTTTTTTGGGGGGGGTCATTTATACAGGAGTCATTTTGGAATTACATGCATGTATTTAACCCTGCTTATAAGGTCTTGCCATTTAAAGCTTATCTTTTATATACATTCATTTATCTCATTGTTTGAGTCTTTTTTTGTTTCATATTATGCTAGGCAATTTCTTTCTTATTCTCAGGCAAGAAGTATTTCTTTGCTTTTTCGCTGAGTATTTGTATGGTTTGGGTCTCATTTTCTTAATATTTTTTGTGATTATGATTTAGAATGTCCACATTTTTATGATTGAGTGTTAAATACTTCCCACTGTTTTAGTAAACCTCTGGATCAGACATATTTAAGGGCAAAAGATTTGAAGGCAAACAAGTTTTAAAAATTGTTGCTATTTGAAATAATTCACTTCTGTCACACAGGGTTTTCCATGCTATTGAGAACCCAAATGAGATACAGACTGTTGTGTGTGAGGAGGTTGCAGGACTAGGGTTATCATCAATAAGCAGTGATTTCTTTTTCTTGTTTTTAAAGAGGGTCTCACTAAGCTGCTTAGGGCCTTGCTGAGTTGCTGAGGCTGGTCTTGAACTTGAAACCCTCCTTCCTCAGTGTTCCAAATCACTGGGACTGCAGGCGTGCACCACCGTGCTTGACCAGTGATTTCTAAAAAGTTATCAAAACAGCTTCTATGCCCTCCCATTTGAAATTAAACTTATAAATTTGTGCTAGTCAAGTCTTGCATCGATGCTTCATCTCTAGGGTTCTACATAGGATTCTTTCTGAAAGTCTGAAGGTCACCAGTTCGGGGATAGCAGAGGCTCCCCAGGTCTGAGTCACTGACTCTGCTCTCTGCTGCAGGTGGAGGCTGCGTGGCTGGAAGGTCGCATCCGGCAGGAGTTCGACAAGCTCCGTGAGTTCCTGAGGGTGGAGGAGCAGGCTGTTCTGGAGGCTGTGGCCCAGGAGACCAGGCAGAAGCAGCTCCTGGCCGATGAGAAGATGAAGCAACTCACAGAAGAGACGGAGGTGCTGGCCCAAGAGATCGAGCGGCTGCAGATGGAACTGAAGGAAGACGATGTCTCTTTTCTCATGGTGAGGAGCGCGGCCGCCGAGTTCTGTGATGGGGCTGGATATTCAGGGACCAGAGAACCATGGTCACCAGCCCCGCCATGCCAGTCTTCCTGTGGCCTCCTGGCTGACGGCATCGGTGTGCTGCTTGTCAGAGGCCAGGGGCGTGACAGGGTGGCGTCTCCAGCCTCTTCTCTCCCCTGCCCTCCCTGTCTCTCTCTCTCTATCTCTCTCTCTCGCTCTCTCGCTCTCCCTGTTCTCTTTGCTTTTGTGCCATCCTTGGTTTCTTCTCTCTCTACCCCCAGTAAACGGGGTCTTTCAAAATCAGATTTTTTTTATATTTAAATACGGCTTGTTCTCTCTTGAGAATGATTCCATTCTCATTTAAAAAAACAAATGCCATTGAGTTTATTTTTTCTCACTTTGGTTGATTGCATCGTTGGGCCCCACAGAGAAGGCTGGTTTGTAAATCAGGATGATCAGGACGACATGCTATCCTCTTCACAACGACAGCTCACCTTCTGGAACAGGGGGCAAATACTGTGTTCCAGCAGTGTGTCCCATCCTGGGAGGACCTTTGTGGGTTGACCACCTCATGTCAAGCCATGATATGCTTTGTCTCCGGAGGGCACTGATTACAGAATCACTCAATGAATTTAAATTGGTTCTTTCCTTGACGATTCTGTAAGGAAATCGTCATCCTGCCAATGATTTTGGTTTGTGATTTTGTTTTTCTAAATAACAGCTGTATTGAGATATAATTTATATATTGCATTGTGTAAATCACCCATTTTTGTTGTTGTTGTTATTTAGTTTTTTAAAAGATAGGATCTCACTCTTGCTTTGGCTGGCTTCAGATTGCTGGGCTCGAGTGACCTTCTTGCTTCCCGAGTAATTGGAACTACAGCCCCACACCACTACACCCAGCTTGTCACTCATTTAAAACATACAGTTCAGTGATTTCAGCACTGTACAGTTGTGCCACCATCATGACAATCTGTATTTCAGATCATTTCATCCACCCAAAAAGAAGCTCCAAACCCTTCAGCTCTCACTCCCCCATCCCTCCTGTCCTGGTGCCTTTCAGCCACCAGTCTCTCTTGTCTACCTAATTTGCCTATTCTACACATTTCACATAAATGGAGTCATATAATATCTATATAATATCTTTTGTGATGGGTTTCTTTCACTCAGCATATTTTGMAACTTCATCCATGTCTTAGCATCTAATAGTTCTTTCCTTGTTATGGTCGAATGATACTATTCCATTGTATATTACATTTTATCTGTTCATCAATTTGTGATTATTTGGGTTGTTTTTACTTTTTGCTCTTGTAGTAATAGGGCTATAAAAATTCATATACCAGTGTTTTGGTTTGTTTTGTACTGGGAGTGGAACCCAGGGTGCTTTTACCACTGAGCTACATCCCTAGTGCTTGTTTTTTTTTTTTTTTCAATCTTGAGACAGAGTCTGGCTGACTTGCTGAGGCTGGCCTTGAACTTGTGATCCTGTCTCAGCCTCCCAAATCACTGGAATGACAGGCACAGGCCACCACACCCAGCTAATATACCAGTTATATGCACATGTTTTCATTTCTCTTGGATGTTGCTAGCTTTTTTGGTAACTCTGACCCTTTGAAGAGCTGCCAGATTCTTTTGCAAGGCAAGTGCACTGCTTTATATTCCCGTCAGCGGTGAATAATGATTCTACTTTCTTTACATCCTTGCCAACTCTTTATATATATATTTTTTTTTTATAAGTAGCCATACCATTGAGTTTGAAGTGATATCTCATTATTTTGATTTACATTTCATGATGGCTAACGATATTTAGCATCTTTTCATGTGCTTATTGGTCATTTGTAGGTCTTCTTTGGAGAAGTATCAATTCTACTTTTTTTAAACATTTTTTAATTAGGTCGTTTCTTTGTCAGTTCTAAAAATTCTTTGTGTTCTAGGCACAAGTTCTTTCTCAGGTTTAGCTCTATATTTAGGCCTTTGATGTATTTTATGTCATTTTTTAAAATATGGCATAAAGTTAGGGTCCACCTTTATTTGACATGTTAGTGTGTACTTTAACAATTTTTACAATTTGTTGGAAAGACCATTCCTCTCTTAAATGATTTTGCTGCCCTCATAGATAATTGGCTAACAGTGAATGTGAGGGTTTACTTCTGGACTTTCAGTTCTGTTCCTTCCATTGATCTCCCTGTCTGCCCACATGTTAGTCTTGCACTGTCTTGACTACTGTTCCTCTATATTAAGCTGTGAAATTGGGGAGTGTGAGTCCTCCAACTTTACTCTTCTTTTTAAAGATTATTTGGCTCTTTGGGGTTCCTTGAATTTCCATATGAAATTTAGAGTCAGTTTCTACAAAGAAAGTACCTGGGATTTTGAAAGGAATTCTGCTGAATACCTAGATCAGCTTGAGGAGAATGGACGTCTTAACAATATTAAGTCTTCTGATCCATGAACATGGGATGCATGGCTCCTCTTGAGGTCAGAAACTTATCATGCTTTCTCTGTGTCTGTGTCTTTCAGAAACACAAGAGCCGAAAGCGCCGGTAAGTTGCCAAGTCTGGTAGAGGGGAGGGGAAGAGCAGGCAGAAACACCAAAGGTGCAAAATCCAGTGGCTCCAGGGCCAGGCAGGTAACGCAGCCAGCTGGTGGGATCTGCAGGGAGTGGTGGGGACTGCCAGATGGAGAGACCTTTCTTTGAGGCTCTCCAATTCTGGCTGGCATGGAGGGTCTCCAGCCACTGTGAGGGGAGGGAGAGCAGCATGCATCTGCTCATGCTTCTCTGTGGCCACCTACCATTTAGACATCTTTCTTGACCAGCCTCCTTCCTCGAGAGCTTCAGGACAGGCCCTTGTCCTGCACACTCGTGTGCCTTGATGGCTTTGGGTTCTCTGGGATGAATAATTAAGAACTATGTCCCTGTCTGAGCTGTCCAAAGATAAAAGAGAGGGCTTTGGGAAGTAGGGGAAGTAGTGAGTTCCCTGTCACCAGAGGTGCTCAATCAAAGGACTGTGACCTCTTGGTTTTGTTGGAGTAGAGCACTGTTAAGGTCCCTTCCAATTTGTTACACATCCCACAAGCAGATGTGTAAGTGTGATTTCTGTCCACAAGGATGGCAGCCGTGTTGGAGAACCTCCTATTTCTATCTCTCCCAGCTGGGGCGGGATGAGCCCTCCTACTGAATCCTGAAGGGTGTGGCAGCTCAGTCGGTTCCTGGACCAATCCAGGTTTGTCTTGGGGAAGGCGGCCAGGAAACCTAGGCCTGAGGCAAGGGAGCAGGGCCTGTTGCCCATTTCCAGTGAACCCAGATCAGCCCAGGTGCTTTGCCCCAACTGCACCTACCATGCCCAGTCCTCCTTCCACAGGCTCTTCTGCACCGTGGAGCCAGAGCCCATCCAGCCCGGCATGCTCATCAACCCCTGCCGGTACCTGGACTCCCTGCAGTACCGCGTGTGGAAGAAGATGATCAGTTCCATCAAGTCTGGTAAGGGGGTGCAGGGAGGTGTTCGCACCCAGGGAAGGTACTTCATGCTATCACAGAGCTGCCAAGCTCCACTCTGCCAGGCTCTGCCCATTCTCTCCACTGGCCTCCCAGCAGCCCTTGACCCTGGTCATTGCCCTCCTGCCTGATGGCTGCAGCCCCTCCTGGCAGACCACCTTCCTATACAGGCCCTGACCCTCTGTCCTCTTCAGAAAGAGAAATACTTCCTCTATTCAGAACTGTAACTTGTATGATGAAAGGCCTTCTCCGTCCAAGGTCACCAAAGGACCACACACGGGGTGCCTTAAATGACAGAAACCCATTCTCTCATGGTTGTGAAGGCTAGAAGCTCATGCTCAGGTGACAGCAGGGCTGTGGTCCTCTGAAACCTGTGGCAGGGACCCTCTGTGTCTCTTCTAGCTTCTGGTGTTGGCTGGCAGGCCTGGCTGCCCTTGGCCTGCAGCTGCAGCACTCACCCTCTGCCCTCTGCTACATGGCTTTTCCCCTCGTGTTGTCTCCATTCCCCTTTTTATAAGGGCACAGTCAAGGTGGGTTCAAGTTCCACCCTGCTCCAGTCTGACTTCATCTTAACTGTATTTATAGTAACGCCCATTTCCAAATAAAGGCACATTCTGGGCCACTGGGTGGGGGCTAGGATTTCCACATACCTTTTGGCGGATACATTTGAACCCATGATTCCCATCAACCCAGGGCAACTAGAACTGAGGTGGTCATTTTGGGGCCCTGGGGACACCACCTGGTGTGGCAGGTGGGAGAGTATCAGGTTTGCTGACTGTCCCCCTTCTGCCCTCAGTGCCCTTCAGCTTCGATCCCAACACTGCAGCAGGCTGGCTCTCAGTGTCTGATGACCTCACCAGCGTCACCAACCATGGCTACCGCGTGCAGGTGGAAAACCCAGAGCGCTTCTCCTCAGCACCCTGCCTGCTGGGCTCCTGCACCTTCTCTCAGGGCTCCCATGCTTGGGAGGTGGCCCTGGGTGACCTGCAGAGCTGGCGGGTGGGTGTGGTGCGGGTGCAGCCAGATACAGGTGCAGAAGGCCACTCACACAGCTGCTACCATGACACACGCTCTGGCTTCTGGTACGTGTGCCGCACGCAGGGTGTGGAGGGGGACCACTGTGTGACCTCGGACCCGGCCACCTCGCCCCTGGTCTTGGCCATCCCGCGCCGCCTACGTGTGGAGCTGGAGTGCGAAGAGGGCGAGCTGTCCTTCTATGATGCTGAGCATAACTGCCACCTATACACCTTCCATGCACGCTTTGGGGAGGTGCGGCCCTACTTTTACCTTGGGGGTGCGCGGGGTGACGGGCCCCCTGAGCCCTTGAGCATCTGCCCCTTGCGCATCGCTATAAAGGAAGAGCTGGGCGTCTGAACTGGCCCAGGCCTGCCGCATGCTGTGCCGCGGGCCTGCTTTATTCCTGCCTCTTCCCGAAGCCCTCCCCTGGCCTCGGCACCTCTGCCCACTCTCTTGTGAGGTGCCAGCATCCTCTGCCATCCGTCTTGCCTTTTTCTGTGACTCTAGGCCCTATGCCTCGTCTTTATTTTTGGTCCCTTCTCTGCTCAGTTAAAAGCCATCCAGGAAGTACCTCATGGGTCCAGGCTCTACCCAGGGTGTGAATTTTTAAGTCCTCATTTGAGAATTTCTGGAGAAAATGTTTACTTCCAGAACAGGCCTGTTTTAAAATGTAGGTTTTATTATTTTCCAGGTATGGTTAAACCAACTAATCAGGAGATGACTGCTGTTGGAAAGAGTCTGTCACTCATTTCCCAGCCATGCCACATGGAGTCACACAGGAAAGCACTAGGGTCAGTCAAGATGCAAAGGGAAAGAGGGGAAGGTGCTGGCAAAGCCTGTGTTGTGGTTTTCCTGGGAAGGAATGGGTGGGGCAGCATAGACCAGGTGGACGCTCACCAGTCTTGAGTAGTTGCAGTGGGTTCTGGCGTGTGAGGACGGCTCCTCGATTCTTGCACCTGCCTTAGGATGATTAGGACAGGAGATGTTGACTTGGCAGAGAGCCTGCTACAGGAAGTGGTGAGATTCCATGGTCTAGGTTGCTGGACTCACGGGACAGGCAGCCTTCAGGCTTGGTGGCTGTCTAGGGATTGGCTAGTTTAGGAGCTGCGGTCACTCCAGTGCTGGAACATCAGGAATTCAGCAAACAGTGCAGGGCTCAGCTTAGCTACTGCTTTATGTTACTAATTTAAAACTTGCACGGATCTTCCTGGGGGTCCTGTAAGGTAGGAGGCAAAGCTGCCCATCCCTATCTATCAACTCCAGTTTACCTGGTTGTACATCAAGAGCTAATCTCTGAACCAAGAGATCCAGAGCACTTAACAAACTTAAAATCATGCTGTGCACCTGTTCCCTCGCTGGGCCTCACTTTCCTCATCTGTACACTAGACAGTGGGACTAGAAGACCGTGTCCTTCCATTATTACTGTGGGGTGAGTTCCTCTGGTGAAAGTATGAGAAGGGAAGGGAAGAGGTGCCCCTTCCAGTTAGGAAGAAAGGAAGGGTGTGGTCCGAGGGAGGCCGTTCGGAAGACAGGTGCTGTGCAGTGAGAAGGAAGGCAGTGTCCCTCGTCCTCACTGCTGCGTGTCACTGACCTCATCCGGCTTGCTCCCTGTTGGGTTTCATTCCTGTTTCTCCTCTCCACTATAAACCTCCACCTTTCCTTTCTCATGCCTGCAAATGCTTTCTAATTTCCAGCTCACTGTGTCCTGGGAATTGACAACATGGAAGGAGACACTGTCCCGTGGGTACCGTGTTATAGTTAGCGGCACATTCCAGCCTGGATTCCCCACTTCATAACAGCTGATGTTCTAAACAGCAATTAGGAGTCCTGGTTATAAGTGTGTTGTGCACATTGGTTATGTAACTAGTGGGGAGGGACCAGGTGTGACATGCCACTGGGGCCAGCTTGGCAGTTGGCAAATGAGCTCACTTGTGTCAGATTCTCAGCGCCCCCCCCCCCCAAAAAAAAAGCTCTAGGCACTTTGGGAACCAAGCAGTTGTGAGTTTGTGTGCTCTGCTGGGGTTTAACCTGTCAAGTACAGATTCTGTATGATCAGCTTGACTTGTTGGTTAGAATAAATGTTTAAAACTATTTTCACCCAAGCTGTTACGAGTTTTTTTTTTTTTTTTTTTTTTTTTTTTTAAGATATAGGATAATTTGGATAGCCTGGGTCTCCTTTTCAAAGAAATAAAAATGATGTGCTTTTTCTTTTGACATTATTTCTTTGGTGTTCTTGAAAGTCAGTTTTTCCATGTTATAGTATGTATTCTTATTGTAATATTCCGTTGTACGAAATGATGTACTGTGTTTTATTGTTCGCCAATTGATGGGTATTTGGCCTGTTTCCACGTTGTGTTGGTTTTGAGTAGTGCTGCTGGGAACATCTGTGTACAGATTTTTCTGTGGATCTGTCTCTCTCTCTCTTTGGTGTCCACCTAGGCATAGACATGCTGTGTCTTATGGTGACTCTTCTTAACCTTTTGAGGAACCGCCAAGCTGCTTTCCGATGCAGCCTTTGACTCCCACCAGCAGTGTGTGTGGATTCCGGGTGCACAGCACCCTTGTCAGCACTGTGATCTGTGTTCTGACTTAGCCCTCCTGTGAAGGTGAAGTGGTATGGCTTTGGCTTTGATTTGCATTTCCTTGATGCTGATACCAAGTAGCTTTTTCATGCACTTATTGGCCATTTGTATATCTGTTGGGGGAACTGTCTTTAGAGCCTTTCCCCATTTTTAGCTGGGTTGTCTTTTTGTTGAGTTGTAAGGGTTCTCTATGTATTCTAGAGACTAGTCCCTTTGTCAGATATAGAACTTATAAACTTTCCTCTTCATTCTAGGTGTGTCCATTCACGTTCTTGGTGACATCCTTTGAAACCCCCAGTTTTTTAATTTGGATATTGTCCAGTATGGTTTTTTTTTTTCGGTTGCTTACAGATCTTAGGAATCCTCCTTTTGACACTGCCCTTGAGACCATCTGGCCTCGGTTCTGGATGTGCTTATGGTAAGGTGGCTATCCTGTTGGCAGTAAGCCCCTCTCCAAGGGTCTTCCTTGAATACTCTCCCACCTGTGCCTCTTACTCCTCATTCCGACATCCACCCTGGAGGTAGCAGCCCACTGTACACTGCCTGTCTTATTCTCCTTTTGAATCCATCTATGTGCTGCCACCAGATGCACCATCCTTTGGTCTCCAATGGCCACCCAGAGTGGCCCCCACTCCTGACCTGCTCATGTGCATTTCTGCAATGCAGCTTTCGGAGCTCACTGTGGCTGGACTCTGTTCTACTGGGTGTCCTGGCTCCATCTCACATGGCTCCAGGCACACCAGGCTGTCACACACACACTGCCTAGTACTCACAGGGCCATTTGTATCACAGTGACCTGCTGTTGGTTACTCGGACTATTCTGGTTATATTTGCTGTGCCACCTGTGTGCTGATGTCTCAGGGCCCACTTCTTACCTGCCTGGGCTGATGTCCTCATCTGCAGATCTCCCCTAACCCCTAATTGTGTGCCCTTTAGATGGGATCCTGGGGAGCAGACTTGTGAGTGCCAAGGCAAATAGCAGGAGAGTCCCCCCTGGCTCCTTGAACTTGCTCATTGGCACCAGTGATCACTTGGTCATAACTCAGTGTGTAAAAGCCATTTTCTTCCTTCTTGCTTCTGAAGGGTGAAGTTTTGGCAGAATGGGATTGTTGTTGGTTAACTATCAAAACAGTGGCAGTCTAGTAAGCCCCATGGTTAATGATGGTGCCCGGCAGGAGTGTTCCCAACACCTTAGATATTAACAGAACTCTCCCCAGTAAGCTTCTGCCCACTTTGCCTCTGTTGTTATAGATCCTGCCCAGGGTTCCTGTGCTGCTATTGTGTGTTGTCCCTCCTGCTGGAAGGCACCTGACTGTCTTCTCTGCTTGAATGTAGGGACTACATCATTATCACCTTTGCTGTCCTAGGTCCAGGGATATCCCGGGCCACTGTAGGTGGTTCTTGTGTGGATGTATCATGTCAATGACGGGTCATAAATACAAAGTAGGGGCAAGATAATAATGGGGCTGAAAAATTCTGATTAGTATCTTTCTATGCCTTCTCTGTGTTTAGATATGTACTATGTCACGGTGGCCGACTGTGCCACTGCAATAGCGTGCACACAGGTTTGCAGCCTTGGAGCGGGGGCTGTACCACACAGCCCAGATGTGCAGTAGGCTGTGCCATCAAGGTTTGGTAAGCACACTCAATGTTCACAGTGACAAAGTAGCTGAAGAGTACACATCTCAGAACATATCTCTGTCACTAATCAACATGAAACCTTTTAGAGGTATGACCTGCAGGTCAGGCAAGCTGTCCTCAACTACTCCACAAAACAACTGGCAGCATTTGGTAAGGAACAAGGGTCAGGATCCTGGACCCAGATTCCAACCCTGCGATGGAGAAGCTACCTGAGGCTTTTGGACATCTGCTGCAAGTAGAAAGAGGGTGACAGTACCTGCCTCAGGCTTCTCAGGGATCCAGTGAGGCAGACTTTGGAAAAATGTCGAGTATTCCACCCTAAACCTAGTATAGGCTTATTACTGTTGGCTAATTCTTCAGCAARTGGGATGTTCTGCATGTTGAAATTATGATTCACAATCACGATGAATCCCAAAGAAAAGTGAGAAGCTGAGATGTGGAAGTTATGTTGGGAACKCTTACTTTCCTTCAGATTTTTGACAAGAGTATGTCTATACAACTTAACATTTGTGAAAAAGTTTCAATAACGTGGAAAAGTGGTTGTGGTACCAAAAAAAAAAATAGATTTCAGAGTTAAACATACAGACCTGGAATGCACTTACAAAAAAAGGCAAGCAGTAATTTGCCTTTAATTTGTGTGTGTGTGTGTGTGTGTGTGTGTGTGTGTGTGGCGCGTGCGCACGTACATGTGTGCTTGTGTATATTTAATCTGTTTACATGGCAATAAACCCAAAGGTACAAAATGTACTAGAACAATCTCACACCTCTGCACATTCAGCTCTCCTAGTAGGCAGTCCCTCCTATCAGTGTTTTTTATCTTTACAGAGAGATTCTGTGTATGGCACATAACCTACAAGAGTATTCTGCCCCTCCCTGCCCAGCACACTATAATTAAAATGCAGATTGTCCCATACTGTATCTGTAAGCAACCCAGCAGGAGGAGAAAACTCCAAGCATGTTATTAAAATAGTTTTCCCTTCTCAAGGGGGAGGTTTGTCTGGGATGTTTTCATGCACTCAGTTCAATTGGTGGATTTTGTTTTTTGTTTAAATATTGCATTATAATTGGTGTCTAAAACCAAGAGGAGAAAAGCTAAATGGAAACCTTAAACCTAAGACTTCAACATAGGTTTTTTTTTAAAATCTCTGTCTTCCCAAAGGTGTCCATTGGTTAAAAGGCTGGATATGGTATTGGACGCCCAGAGTTCAAACTGACCACCACTGTGACCCTGGGGGGAGACAGCCCCTCTGCCTCTTGGTGTCATCATGTGGAAAAGACCTAAGAGTTCCTGTCTCTTAAGGTGGTTATAGACTTTAAGGGAGCAAGTGTGTAAAACTCTGGAAGTTGGACAAATATTAACAGCTGAGTTCACTATCGTTACTCCTGGCCCTGGTCCTCACATAGCTGCGAAGCTTTGGTAGAGCATTGAACTTCTGTAAACAGGGCAACTTGGACACTTGCATGTTTTTCCCCAGGTCAACCCGTGTCATTGGCAAGAGCTGTGTATCCCAAAGAAGAGAAGACAGCTGCCTACAGTCTTTAAGAATCTGGGTGTGGTACCAGAGGCTTTGCCTTGTTTTGAGCCTGGAGAAAAAGAGTCATAACGTTTTAGGCATAGCAGAAGATTCTAGAGAGGAGCAGATCTTCACAAATCATAAAATTAGTCATCGTATCATGCACAATGAAATTGTGTTGTCATGTTCCAAAATGGTTCATGTAGCTGTATGCATGAAGATGATGTCAAATACTGGCTCATGCCCAGTGAAGGTGATCTTAATGATAGTGATTTGGATTGGACAAAGACAATCGTTAGTGATGGGAGAAACTGAGCTTATTAATATTCCCTTCAGGATTTCAGAAAGAACAGAACTTTGTGCCCTGACCTGTCCCACCTGCTCCTTCCAACAGTAACCAGAGGGTGGGAAGACAGGTCAGTAAGGACTGAGTCTGATGGTAAGGGAACCCTTCCTGCTCTGGGGTGGTGTTTGTCCTTGTTTGTGGGTGTTGCTCCGGTGGGTTTCCTTTGCCAGGGAGCAGGCTAGGGAAGATGGGAGATTTGGTTTCTATGGATACTGGCTGGCTGGGATTTGCATAATGTAGTGCAGAGAACAGACAGTCTGGGAACACTGTAGACCAGGGAGGAACACAGAGGCACATGGAAATGAGTTGGAGGGCCAGGGTAGCCAGGTTCCATTCAGCCCTGTTCTAGGGAAGGGAGTCTGTCCCTGCTGCTCCCTGAACAGATGTTCAATAGATGCAAGTCAGGGTAAGAATCTCTGTCTCCTCAAACATTTATCATTTCTTTGTGGGGAAAACAGTCAAACTCCTTTCGTCTAGCTTTTTGAAATGGACATTATATATCATTGTTATCTGTGGCCACCCTACCATGCATGGCGCAGCAGAGCTTCTTGCTCCTGTCTAACCATGGCCAACCTCTCCCCATCCCTGCCTCCACTCTCCCCAGCCTCTGGTAACCACCTTTCTACTCTCTACTTGTATGCAACGTTTTGTCTGAACTGCTTTTTTTTCTTTTAGAGAGAGAGAGAGAATTTTTTTAATATTTATTTTTTAGTTTTTGGCAGACACAACATCTTTGTTTGTATGTGGTGCTGAGGATCGAACCCGGACCGCACGCATGCCAGGCGAGCGCTACCGCTTGAGCCACATCCCTAGCCCTGAACTGCTTTTTTAAGTGGTCAGGTATACTGTTTCCTTCTGTTTGTCTTGCTGTATCCATTCAGTTACT